GGTTGGGGCATCCCAAGGCCATGGGGCATCAGTGCTGCTGGGGGCCGAGGCAGGACCCCGGGCTTCTCGCTCAGCCTGGCAGCTTCCTGAGGCAGCTCCTGCTGGCCTGTGCTGGCCAGGGCTCCTGGCTCTGTCCCTCTGGCCCTGGGGGTGGGGGGCCGTGGCCTGCCGGTGGCCTTGCCAGTACACAGAGCCCAGCCCCCACTCAGCCCTGCTGGCACCAGGCATCCTTTGCATTCCTCGATAATGGGCCGGTTTCCTGCTGCCCACTGTGACTACCTGACATTCAGCATGGTGGCCAGGGAGGCCCTGGTCATTTCTGCTACCTTTGTCCCTCTCTTCACTCTTCCCACTGAGGTTCCCAGCAAGGCCATCCTCAGGGATCCTGGCGTCTGATGCCCTTCCTCTTTCGCCCTAACCCAGCTCAACTCACTAAAGCCAGGGCTGGTGGAATGTTCTAGAAAATTGCTGGATTCTAGAGAAGGCAGCAGGGGAGATCTGGACCCTCATTAGCACCTGCTAGAGGCTAACTTGGGGTCCCTGTTGCCCGCAGGTGGCTTCACAAGAGCAAACCCCAGTGCCATAGAGGCCAGTCCCACCTGAGCCCTTGGGGACCCTTCCCGCAGGGCAGAGGCCTGTGTCCCTTTGAGCAGAACCTGCTGGCAGCTCCGAAAGCTCCAGGGAAGCTGTTTCGCCAGGTCTGCCGGCACGGTCCTGGCTCAGCCATCCCTGCCAGGTCCCCCTTGTCCTGAAAGGGTCTTGAGGTGGCCCCTCTGGGGGCAGGCCAGGCCCACTGCCCCCACTTTGGCTGCGGAGCCCCTCCTGCTCTTGCTGCCTCCTGTCCACATGCCACAGCCCATCTCGGAGCTCCTGTAGGGTGGCCAGGGCTCAGGTTAACTCTCCTCCTCCCAGACCCTCCCAAGCCCTGGGGAGGAGAGCTCCGTGCAGCCTTCTCCAGGAGGACTGTGGGCCCCGGGAGTGTTCACACGAGTGTCCTTCTAACCCTTTCCCCGGCTTGTGATGAAGTATCCTTATCCACTACACCAAGGAGAAACAGGCTCACAGGCCGGGGGCTCATCCGTGGCCATGCACCAAAGAGTGCCGCCCCAAGGCCAGGGCTCGTCTGCTCCCGAGGCCCTGCACTGACCGCTCCCTGGCAGCTCCTCCCTGGCGTCCGCACACCCCACAGCAGACACAGGCAGCGGGGGACTGAGCTGGACTGTGCCAGCTTCCCTCAGGAGGCCCCTTCCATTGGCCCCACCCCTGGCCACCCCCAGCTCAGCCCATAGTTCCCCTGGGGGTGGGGACAAGCTGTGGTGCCCTTAAGTTGGGGGAGGGGGCTAGGCTGGATAGCCAGGTGGCCCTGGGGCAGGAGGCCTGTGACATGTTCCTCCCAGTGTGGGGACTGGCTGGCCCCTGCTGCTAGCACTGGGCACGGGGACCCCCAGGGAGTAGAAGGAGGCACCGGGCAGAGGCTGGCATTGCTCCAGCATTAGCTGTTGTTGGCGGCCTTGGAAATGGGCGGCCCTGTTCCCTTAAGACCCCAATCTCCTCACCACCCCCAGCCAGCCAGGCCTGCCCCAGCCCTCCTGTCCCCCAGCCCTGGCCTGGAGGTTCCTTGGCTGGCCTGAGGGTTTGCCTGGCACGCTGAGCCCAGGCCTCCCGTGCTCCCGGGCCTCAGCCCCCTCCATGGCCTCCCTGCCAGGTGCCCATCCACGCCCTGTGGAGCGATGGCCGCGAGAACCTGCTGGGGGCGCTGCTCATGGCTGGCCAGTACGTGATCCCTGAGGTGCGGCCTGGGGCTGCGTGGGGGGCGGGGACTCGGCCTCTTCAGGGGAGGGCTGGCTGGGGGCGCCAGGCCTGCTTCCCTGCCCGGAGTAGGGTCTTGTGGGTGTGGCGCTCAGGTGGGACCTGCAGGGCAGGGCCCAGGTCGGCTTTTAAAGCTTTGTGTTTCACCTTGTAAGTGATGCAGTCACTGTCCCCAACCTCAGGAAAGTGAGAGCAGAAGGGAACAGAGTCACCCCTAAACCTTGCTCCCCAGAGACTGCATTTTCTCCCACACTTGTTGTTGTAGACGTTTATACTTACATTGTGGATTTGTGTGCAAGTTTCCATGGAAATAGGCTGCAACCTCTGCAGCATCTTTCCTGTTTCCTGTGGTGTCACAGGGAGACGTCCCCACGCCAAGTGGCAGGACCAGGAGCCCGTTCCTGTCTTTAGCGCTTCCCCCCCGCCGGGCAGGAGTGGGCAGGCGCTTTACCGGAGCTCGGCGTTCCCAGCCCGCCCTTACTGAGTGCAGCCCAGCCCCTCCTGGGGAACAGCTCGTGCCCAGCTCAGTGCCGGCAGGGTCCTCCGGCCCAGCTCCCCAGCGGGGCCTGCAGGGACTCGTGTCCACCACAGGGAGGCGTCTCTGGAGTCTCCGCTTGGAGGGGAGCGGTGGAGACCCCCTGTGACCAGCCACCTGCACACCCAGGGCCCAGTGCCCCCAGGCTCTGCAGGCTCTGGCTTGCCCATGGGGGGCCGGGGCTGCAGGGGGCCTGTGCTGAGTGGTTGTCCGGGTGCCTCCTCCTAGGAGGGTCTCTGCTCGGGGTGGGTGAGGTGACAGGCCAGCCTCCCCCAGGCCTGGGTGTCCCTCTCGACCGCAGGGAGGATACAGGGGTCCAGGCCAGGCCAGCTCAGCCCCGAGCCCCATCCCTCCCTTCCCGCAGGTCTGCGTGTTCTTCCAGAATCAGCTGTTTCGGGGCAACCGGACGACCAAAGTGGACGCCCGGAGGTTTGCGGCCTTCTGCTCCCCCAACCTGCCCCCTCTGGCCACTGTGGGCGCAGATGTCATCAGTAAGCGCAGCCAAGAGCAAGGCCCCAGATGTGTGCATGGGCTGCTGCGGGGACACTGTGCCTGGGATTTGGGGGTTCCCCTGAGTGGGACAGGGCACAGCACTTGGTTCTGCCCTGGGCTGTGGAGGGTGGGCTGCACATGGCTGCACAGCTGGGGGCCTCAGCAGGTCACCACAGGCTCAGAGGTGGGGCCTGGAGAGGAGGTTCGGTGACCTGTCCGTCCTGTGTCCTGCCCCAGCCACAAGGCCCCACGCCTGGGAGCTCCTGCCAGACCGTCTGTGGCTCTGCCGCACCCCTGTCCTCCTGGGACACGTGCTCCTGCCCTGCAACCTTGGCCCTGGGTGTTTCAGGGGAGTCGTTCTGTCCTCTGGGCCTGGCGGGCAGCCCAGCTGTCCCTGTGGGGCTGGCGATGTCTCAGCTGGTCCTGTGTCCTAAGGCTTCCCTGGGGGAGGCCCTGGGTGTAGGGGCGGCCTCGGAGCTTGCTATCAGAGACCGGTGCCCTGGCCAGGCCTCTTCCGGGACTCACGGCTGTGCTCCCAGGCCCTCCTGGGGAGCCTCTGCCTTCCCGGGCTCCGGGCCAGCTCCGCCCCCGCCCCCCAGGTCTCTCTCTCCTCCTGTGACAGGAGGCTCTCAGAGTGGCCTGCCGCCTGCCCCAGGCCCTGGTGCCTCAGCGGCTGCTCCAGCCCCACCCTGTGTCTCATGGCTTCCTGACTGAGGTGTGGGCCCAGGACACGGGGTCCTCTGTCCTCACCCCACTGGCTCAGGGGTCCTGCCCTGGGAGGCTCCTGGGCCTGCAGAGCTGGCCTTCCTCTGGGGGGCATTTTGCCGCCTTGCCTGGGGCTGGGCTCACCGTGCGCACGGCGGGGTGCGGCGGCTTGTCCAGAAGTGACACAGCTGTTCCCGTTTGACGGGGTGACCGTGCAGCGTCCCAGCCCGTTGGCGGGTGGAGCTCCCCCGCCGTGCCGTGCTGCTGTCTGGGCCTGGGCCTCGGCGGGGCCGTGGGTCGGGCACACAAGAGGCAGTTCCTGGGGAGCCTCCTGGTGCAGCAGGCGCGTCCTGCCCTGCTCCTGGGAGGAGCAGACCCTCTCAGAGAGGTCTGGCAGCCAGGCCTTGACCCCCCTCCCGGAAGATTCCCCAGACACAGGCAGGGACCCCGAGGAGGCCCAGGGCCTGGCATGAGGAGGGGCAGGAGGGGTTCTGGGCACATCTGGCTGGCAGGGCTGTCCGTGCAAACAGATAATGGCAGGTGGCTCTGAAAGCCCCCGCGCCTTCGGACCCCCAGCCGAGGCATCCATGTGGCAGTCCAGGCTCGCTGGTAGGCGGGGGCTTGCTGGTTGCCCCATGGCCCCTTCAGTAGGACTGGACAGGAGGAAACCACAGAAGTCCCAGCCCCAGTGCCTGGTTCTGCGGGCGGGAAACTGAGGCAGAGAGGGGCAGGGCCACACAGGGAGGTGTTGGCCCGGCCCTGAGCCCTGGCTCCTCTTCTGAGGTTCTCTCCCTAGACCTGCCAACCCCTGACACTCACTCGGGCACCTTCCAGGGAGTGAAGGCCCAGAACACGACAGCGCGTCAGTGCGTGTGCAGCGCACCAGCCTCAGGGGCCAGGCTGGGGCCGTGTGCCCACTGAAGGCCCGAGCAGTGAGGAGGCTTCTTGGAGGAGGTGGCCTATGCCGGAGCGGGTGCCAGACTGGCTTGTCTGTGCCGGGTGGTGGCACTCGTCCTTGCAACCCAGGAAGCAGGGGCAGCGTGAGGTGTGGGCGGCCGCCCTGCAGGCCCGGCTCCCGTGCGGACTGAGTCATGCCTTCTCTGGGGCTCAGGAGTGGAGCTTCTGCCTGTGGGGACCCCGCCCCCAGACAGCGCGGAGGGCTTCGCTGTGGGTTCCAGGGCTTCTGCCAGCGCCATGTGCCAGCCCGCATGGGCCTCGGTCGCAGGGTTGCAGAACAGCTTCGCGGCCCAGCGCGGAGGCCGGCCTCGAGGGGGAGGCTGCCCCACCCCCCAGCCCCGGCCCACGGTCCTGCCGGTTTCCCACCTGTGCGGGTGTGGGAACCCGCGGCCCCGCCCACCCGCCTGATGTCAGGCTGCTGGGCCGGTTCTGGCACCCGGTGTTGAGAAACCCCAGGCTCTGCCCAGGGTGTGGCTGCTGGGGCCCTGGGGAGGGAGCAGCGGGGCCGAGCGCCGCACCAGTGTGAGCCCCCACCCTCCTGGAGCCGGCTGGCGGGTGCGCTCCCGCTCGGGCTCCCTGTCTCGGGCTTGTCCTTGGACTTTCGCTCACCCTCTGGGGCAGGAGGGGCTGGGCCGGCCACCCAGGGCCACGGATGGGGGCTTGGTGCTCAGCATGTGCCCGGCACAGTCTGCCCCGTGCTAAGGCAGCGCGTGGGGGCCGGGGGTGGTGCCGGCCTGAGTTCCCCTTTTGTCTGAGACACGCGCTGTCCACGCCGGGCCCCTGGGAGACCCACGTTCTCAGCCTACCCTGCTGCGGCCCTGGCAGCAGAGGAGGGAGGGGACAGGGCATTGCTCGGGAGTCAGGCCAGCTGGGCTCCGGCTGGCCCTGCTGCCCTTAGCTGTGGGGTCTCACTCTATGGCACCGACGCGCGGGGCTCGGCGCCCTCCTCTGTGCACTGGGAGAGGCCCCTCCTCCCGCGCAAGCCAGGCCGCGCCAGGCTCTGCGGCTCTGAGGTCCTGAGGCATGAACCCTACCACCCTTCGGCTCCCAGAACACAGTCCCTCCGCAGGGGGTGTTTGGGACTGGGCCTGGCCTGGTCACCGGGCCACCGGCCCTCCTCTCTCAGCCCCAGGCGTGGCGACAGCCACCCCCCTGGCCTCCAGCAGGCCCTGGGTGGGAAGCTCTTAGGGATCCCAAGGAGTGGCTTCCGCAGGCCCTCAGGAGGCAATGGGCTGGCTGCAGAGTGGGCGTGGCCCCTGCCGTCCCTGTGTGCGTCCCCTCTGCAGCCGTAGCTCTGGTGGTGGCATCTCCCCGCTCCCCTGGCGGATGCCTTATCTGCTTGTCCAGCTGAGACTCGCGTCCCTGAATTAAAGGACGTCTTGTGCTGCCATGGTGTGGGGTGACTGCTGCCCCGTGGGGTGGGGCCTCCAGCACGCCCGCGTCTCCCACCCCTCTGACTAGTTGGGTGTCTGGAATACTCTTCTGTTTATTGTCACATGTGAATTGCTGTGGAAGAAACAGCAGGAGGCCCCAGGGCTGACATCCCCTGTGGGGTGGGAGGAGCCGGGGTGGGGTCCTGTTGCCCCATTCCTGTCCTGACACCGTGCCTGACTCTCGGGTGCCCCAGGCCAGGCCCTTCCCCTCTCTGGGCCTCAGATTCCCGGGGCTGGACCAGAGGGTCCCCAGGTACCTGCTGCCCAGACACGCTCTCACGTCCCTTAGTGAGTGGGGCCACCAGTGTCCACCTCTGCTCGTCTGGAGGCCACCAAGTGCCCAGGGCCCCAGGAATGGGGCCTGCCCTTGGCACCGGCCTCTGAGGGTTTGCAGGCCAGACCCCGCCCGCAGTGGCGCAGGAGGCGGGGAGACCGCAGCCGCTCAAGGCAGCTCTCTGGGCAGCGCCTCCGCACGGCTGGGTTTGCAGGGTGCTGACCCCAGTGATCTGCCCCCTCCACTTTCCATGGGGCCTGGGACTCCACTGTCACCCACCCTGGGTCTGGGGAGCGGGCAATGGGCGCACGTTAGGCCTCTGGGATTTGGGGGTGAATTGGATGGAGGCTTTCCTTCCCCAAAGGGGGGGCCCTAGAAGATTCGGGCATCCACTCATGCACCCACGGACCCCACAGCAGTGGCGAGGGGCAGGGCCGGGCCGGAGAATGCTGCCCCGACCACTCCTGGGGCTGCTCGGCTGGGCTGCCTCCGCCCTCCCGCGCATGCCCAGGCAGCCCGCACCACTCAGCCAGGCCTCTGTCTCTGTGGGGTCCTCCGTGCACCCTTGCCCGGCCGGCCGAGATTCCTCCTGGGGTCCGTCACCCTGGTCACTGTGTCACCCTTGCTTGACCATCGGTCTCTGGACTGAGAGCTCCTTCTCCCTGGGCCCCGTGCACACCTCGGAGCCTGGCACAGGCCTGAGTGAGCTGACGGCCAGGTGGATTTGCCCCGGGGAGGGGGGCGGGGCAGGAGGGCCAGGCGGGCTGGGATCTTGGCTGGCAGGTGGCCGCAGGCCCCACACTGGGCCCTTCCCTGTCCCCACAGTCAACAGGGAGCTGGTGCGCAAAGTTGGCAGGAAGGCGCGGCTGGTGGTGCACGACAGCATGGAGCGCGACGTGGGCCTGCTGCGCCTCTACCCCGGCATCCCCGCCTCCCTGGTAGGGCAGCCCCCCCCCCCGCGCACCCTTGCACCTCCCGGCCCGCAGGGAATTCAGCCTCTGCTGTGGCCTCCCTGCAGCGCCCCCTCCCAGCACCCTGGCCTGACCGAGGCCCACCCGGCCTGCGTGAGCGTCACCAGGGCACGCGCCCCCCGCCATCCAAGCTGAGGCTTTGGGGTCCGCCCCCGTGTGGACGCTCGTGGACGCTGATGGTTCTCTGGTCTCTGCCTTTCCGTGGTCCTCCGCTTCCTGCCATCGGCCCTTGAGCCCCAACTGTCACTGCGGCGCCTGCCTCTGTCCTGCTTTGCCGAGATGCTGACCGGCCCTGGCCCTGTCCGCTGCCGCCTCAGTGGAGCTTTCGGGCCTCCCGGGCGTGGGCAGGGCCGGTGCCGGCTCCAGGAGCCCTTGGCGTGTTTCTCGGCAGCGTCCCCTCCGTGCCTCAGACGAGGCAGAGATGCCGGCCGGGGTCTCTGGCGGCCTTCTGCGCACTGTCCACCTCCGCCGTGTTCCGCGGTGCTGCGTCCTGCCACACGAGGCCTTAGACGCTGCAGACAGGCATCCCTTTGGGGAGTGTGGTGGGGGCAGCCCCTGGTGGCTCTCCAGGTGCCACAGCCGTGCGCGCCTGCTCTGAGCCCAGCCGTCCTGGGAGCGCAGGAGGCGCCTGGCCCGGCGGCTTCTGGCCTGGGGCCCGCTCCTCGGCCGGCCAGCAAGGCCCATGTGGGGCAGGCGTGTTGGTCCCAGTCACTGGAGCAGGAGGCAGAGGCCCTCACCTCGGTCCTGGCCCTGCCACCCCACAGGTTCGGGCCTTCCTGCAGCCCCCCATGAAGGGCCTCGTCATGGAGACCTTCGGCTCGGGGAACGGGCCCACCAAGCCGGACCTGCTGCGGGAGCTGAGGGCGGCGGCTGAGCGCGGCCTGGTCATCGTCAACTGCACCCACTGCCTTCAGGGGACAGTGACCTCGGACTACGCAACCGGCATGGTAGGGGCAGGGAAACCGAGGCCGGGGGAGGAAGGTCCGGCCTATGGGTCCAGCTCTGACCCACAGCCCGCCAGCTGGGGCACATGTCTGGGAGGCTGGGGAGGGAGCGTGCAGCCCTGCCATGAGCCCCTCCCACAGGCCATGGCAGGAGCCGGCATCGTCTCGGGCCTCGACATGACATCGGAGGCCGCCCTGGCCAAGCTGTCGTATGTGCTGGGCCAGCCGGGGCTGAGCCTGGACGACAGGAAGGAGGTGCGTCCCCTCAGGCTGTGGGCACGGGCCGGACCACACTCGCGCGTGTGCACACATGTTGGCTGGCTCCCGAGGGTGTGCCTGGGGGGCCGCCGGAAGAGAGTGGGGCCCAGTCCAGGGAGTGTGTTCCTGGCTTGGGTGGGGGAGCAGGTGGGCTCCGAGGTGGGGAAGGGAGCTCTGCGCCCCAGGCCCGCCCCAGCCCTTACCTGACTGTGAGCCCCGACACTGCCTGTCCTTGCGCCTGCTCTGCGGAGCTGCAGGTCCTGGCGCGGGCTCCCTCCCTGCCGCCACCCTTTCCTGGGGGAGGCTCGACACGGCCAGCCCCCAGCTCTTGGGCTGCAGCCCCTGGGGGTAGGTGAGGCCGTTGGGGCCTCAGAGCCCCTGAGCTGGTGCGGCTGGCGGGTGGGGCTGGCCGTGTGCGGGGACCTGGCCGGGATCACACCCCAGCCCGAGCTCCAGGCCCAGCGCAGGCCCTCAGTCCGGGCCGGGGAGCCTGGCCCTCTAGGCTGGTCTGGGATGCCAGTCTGGCCCTGGCAGGGTCTGCCCGGCTCTGTGTTCTCTCCCCCAGCTGCTGGCCAAGGACCTCCGTGGGGAGATGACGCCGCCCACAGCTGACGAGCGCCGGCCCTCGCTGCTGGGCAGTACGTGGGGCAGAGGGGTCGCCTGGCTCCTCGGTCTGAGTGGCAGCCAGGTACTGCCGATGGGGTGGGGGGTGTGTCTGAGCCCCAGGTTGGGCCTGTGCACCCCCCGGTCCCTGTGGGGTATGCCAGGCACAAGCCACTGCAGTCTTTCCAGCCGTGAGCTCACACCAGCCAGGCACAGCCTGGTTCGAGGGCCCAGGAGGAGAGTTTAGGGTCCATGGTGGGGATTTGTGGGGATCCAAGGACAGCAAGCGGGAAGGGACCAGGCCACATAGCAGAGGCTTCCCAGTGTGTGGACGGGGGGCACACAGTGGGGTGGCTGGGCTGCTGCCCTCTGACCACCAGCGCTGGACCTGGGTGCAGGGGCTGCCCTGGGGGCTGGGCCAGATGCTGCCTGAGCAGTGGGGGCCAGGCCCCACACCCGCACCCAGGGACATGGCAGCCTGGAGCACTCCCGTCACAGCCGGTGTGCAGACCTGGGAGGGGTGGGGTCTGCAGGGGTGACTGGGCCTCCCCTGCACCCCGCACCCTGCCCCAGCGTCTGGGCGGAGCACTGGGCCTGGCGTGGGACGCCGGCAGCCGGAAGGGAGCAGGGCTTCTCCGTGCTGCTGGGCCCGCTGCAGGCCTCCTGCGCCTCAGTTTCTCCCCTGCAGGGACGGCCCTGCCTTGGTGAGCTGCGGTGGTGTTAACTGCCACTTGCTGGGCGTGGGCAGGGGTCAGATGAAAGGGTCTGGCGTGTGTGGCCTGTCATTAGGGCGGCTGCCTGGGGCCCCAGGGCCCCTAGGAACGCAGGCCAGCGGCAGCAGCCTTGTGGTCAGGCCAGGCCGTGCCTGCTGGGTGCGGCGGCAGCTGTGGGGCCTCTGCTGGGACCCCCGCCTCCTGGTGTCTTGGGGAGCTCCTGGATGATGGGGTGCTAGGGCGGGCGCCCCTTCCAGGAACATGGAACAGGGCCCTTCTTTCTGGGTGGCTGGCGCCCCTTCCGCGTGTCCCCAGCTGGTGACTTATTCTATCCCCAACAGTGGTGGAGACAGAGGAAAAAGTGAACCTTGGAGGGGAGGTGGCAGCCCTGGTCACACTACTGGGGCCGGACAGTAGCCTCGTGTCCTGGCCTCTGCTCCCGGGCGGGGTCCTAGTGGGCCTCTGGGTAGAGGGGTGAGGTTCCAGCCCCACGCCTTTGGCTGTGGCATTTCAGGCTCTTTCTCCTCTGTGTTGGGGGACCCACCGTGTGGGGGTGACAGGGCGCACACAGCACCGGGGACTGCTGGCTCTGGCTGCCTCTTCCCCAGGGGGGCCGAGGACCCAGAGGGAGGCGTGGGTCCTAGGTGCCACCGTCCCCCACCAGGAGGCAGACGCTGTGCTCGATGCCCTGATGCCCAGCCTGGCCTGTGCTGCAGCCCACGCCGGTGACCTAGAGGCTCTGCAGGTGCTTGCGGCGCAGGTGAGCCTCACGCCCTGGGGCCAGGCCTAGCCATACGGGCCTGGGGTGAGGGGCGCTGGCCCCTGCGGGCAGAACGGCCTCTCACCAGGGCCACCAACCCCTCTAAGCGTCTGCCAGGCGGGGCAGTGGTACTGTCCTGCCAGCAGGTCGGGCCTCCCTGCAGTGGAGGGGGTGGGCACAGTGGCTGAGCCGGGTCCCCTCGGGGGTGCACCTGACCCTCCCACGGCCTGCCTGGCTCTGTCCAACCCTCTCTCAGGGGTCACGTGGCCTTGTTGTCACCCCAGGGCAGTGACCTGAGCCTGGAGGACTTCCGGGGTCAAACCCCGCTGCATGCGGCCGCCCGGGGGGGCCGTGCCAGGGTGGTCGGCATGTTGCTGCAGAGAGGTGTGGACGTGAACGCGCGTGACGAGGACGGCCTCAGCCCACTGCTGCTGGCCGTGCGGGGCAGGTACTGGGGGCAGGGGCTGGACAGAGCAGCCTGGGCAAGTAGGTGCAGATGGGGTGCAGAGAGCCTGCCGGCCTGCCTGGGGACACACAGCTTCCCCTGGCAGTGCTGGGTGAGGCCGAGGACGCCTGCTTCCTAGAGCCATGCTTGCCTGGCAGGCACTTCAGGGACACAGGACAGTGGCAATCGGGCCATCCCGCCCTGCAGCGGGGCCAGAGCTGGGGTCACCGAGGCCTCTGCCAGGGCTTCCCCACCCTGAGCCTCGGTTTCCCCGCCCGTGGCGTGTGCTGGAGTGTGTGTCGGGGTGGGGCTCCCCGTGCAGGGCGGCAGCGAGGTCTGTGTTGAAGGAGAGTGCTCACAAGTGGCGGTCACCACCCGGGAGCGGGGAAGCCGGGCCCAGGGTCGGGCAGGCCTTGTCTTCGCCCGCCCAGCCCTGCCAGCGACCCCGCTCCCTGGGGCCGCGTCTGGGGTGCAGGGCCGGGTGGTCAGCACAAGGCCAGAGCGGCAGGAGCTCAGCCCGAGGGTCCTCTGGTGGGGCCACCTCCTTTCACTAGGGAGGCCCTGCCTGCTCACGGGGCTGTCCCAGCCCACTCCCCTCGTCCCTCCATGTGGGCTGGGTAGCTGTTGACCCGCAGCTGCAACTCAGAGCAGGTGGGAAGGAGGTGGGCAGGGCTTGGCAGGGCCCATCCGGGGCCTCACGTCCTCCAGGCCTTCGAGGGTGGGGTGGGGCTCCCCTCGCAGCCCCTGCGGGTCCCTCTCCGTTGCCCCATGCATAGCCCGACACAGCGTCACACGCAGAGGGAACGCGTGAGTGTGCCCGCGGGCCCAGGCCGGTCAGCCTTTGGGCTGCCTCCGCCTCGCTGGTGCCTGACCGTGGCCTCTGCTCAGAGCCACGCAGGAGCCGGACGGACCTGCCTGCCGGAGCCCGGCCCAGACTCAGCAGCTGCTCCTGGGGATTTCTGCCCAGGGGAGGTTGGCCTGCAGGACCCCGCAATCTTTGGGGGAGGCAGTGCTCCTGGGTCCATGGAGAGAGCCCAGGGGTGTCTGGGCCTGGAGTCTCCAGACTGGCGTGTCCAGTCGTGGGTGCCCCTACCTAGCTGTGAGCCCAGGCTGGGGTGTGTAGAAGGTTCTTTCCAGGCTCCCGTGAGCACTGAGGGAGTTCTAGAACAGGCCTGGCGAATGGGCGGGAGGGCGAGGGGCTGTGGGTGGCAGCCTGGCGCCCAGGCTGCGCTGATCTGGGCTGGGGATTCTGGACTGCGCGCCCTGGGCGTGGGTGGGTGTCGCGGAGATGAGCTCACACGGTCCCGCCCCTCGCCCCTCCCTGCTCGCGATGCCCCCATCTCCGGCCACACTCCCCTGCCAGGCTCCCTGAGGCGCCTGCCTGGCCCTGCAGAGCCCTGAAAGGCATGGGGGGGCCAGTCTGCCACGGAGGGCTCTGCCGGGGGACCCCCATCCCACTTCACACTCCCTCCAAGGCTCCCTGAAAATGGGGTGCCCGCGTCACACGTGGCACTTTGCAGGGCATAGCCAGTGACTGTGGTGCAGTGGCCAGGTCCCCCACTGCGCTGTGTGGGGCAGCCTCCGCCCCAAGTCTTCTGTCCCTGGCTCTGCTGGAGCCCCCTCCCCCACCCACCCCCACCCCACAGACAGCTCAGCCCCAGGCCTGGCTCAGGTGACGTGGCCTCTGGAAAGCACCCTGGCCCCAGCCCCAGCCTCTGGGCCGCTGCTGCGTGTCTGGCTGTCTGCCTGGGCCACAGCCCGCCCCACCCCCAGGGGCAGAGTTGGGCCTCGTGGATTCAGGGTCCCCAGAGCCAGCCTGGGCCTGGCTGGGCAGGTCCCCACCGTGTGCCCTCAGTGTTCAGGGTGTGCAGTGGCCTGGGACTGTCCTCTAGGGCAACTGTCCCCTCAGGACGGGCCAGGGAGACCACGCTGGGGGCACCCCCTGCAGGCCTGAGATGTCCTGGGAAGGTGCTCTGGGCAAGCTGTACGGCCTGGGCCTGGGCACAGGGCTGGGGGCTCGGCCATATCTGTGCCCAGGACTGCGGGGTCCTGGGCGGGCAGGTCCTTGTCCCTGTGCACAGGACACAGGCCTTGCTGGTGTCTGGGCAAGGCGGGGCTGTGCCTGGGCCTGGCCAGGGCAGACGGTCCCTACGCTCTTCTCATGACAGGCACCTGGGTGTCATTGGCCTGCTGCGGGCGGCCGGGGCCTGCCTGTCTGCCCAGGAGCTGGAGGACCTGGGGACGGAGCTGTGCAGGTGAGAGCTTCTGGGGACCTGGGGACAGGACTCGAGGACGGGACGCGGGTGTGGGGGCTTCAGAGGAGGGAGCGCCCGCTCTGCCCCAGACTGGCTGGCGGGAAGAGGTGTCTGTCCTGGGCACATCTGGGGGGTTGTGCCCGGCTGAGAGCAGTCCCGCAGTGGGGTGTGCACGCGTGTGCGCGTGGCGGGGCCCGAGGAGGGGCGGGGGCTGGGTGGGAGAGGGGCTGGGTTATGGGCTGGGCGGAGGCTGGGCTGCACTTGGGGAGGTGGGGGCAGAGGAGCTGGGCCTCAGGATGGCAGGGCCTGGTCCCTGTCCTGAGATAAACTGACCAGAGATCCTCCTGTCTGGACTCATGGCGGCCAGTTGCCAATGTGCCTCTGACCTCCCTGCTGCCCTGAGTGACCTGAGGCAGGCTTGGGAGACTGAGGAACAGGGAGGCCCTAGCGCGGTGTTGGCGGCGGGGCTGGGCAGACGGCAGGCCCGGGCTGCAGAGCCTGGCTCCCCCTCTGCCCCCGCAGACACACGGCTCCCCCTCCTTCCCCTCCCACCTCTCCAGGCCTGGGGCCTGGCACAGCCTCGATGCCCAGCCTGGGCTGCCCTCGGGTGGGACCCAAAGGGGAGCGGGGGAGAGGCAGAGGCAGGAGACCTGGGCCAGGTGCAGGGCGGGGGTGCTGCACGTGGCTGGGCTCTGTGTCCCTGGCAGTGGGAGGAGAGTCGGGCCTGGGGAGTGGTGGTGATGGGGACGAGACGGACTGGCTGGGGCAGCGGGCCGGGGCGCCTGCGCAGCAGGAAGAGGACCCACAGCCCTGCCTGTGGCCCACCCGGCCTAGACACGGGGGCTCGGCCCTCCTGCCCTGGTCTTCAGTGTCCCCAGGGGCAAACGTGGCCAGCTGCCCTGCCTTCTCAGCGGTGAGGGGATGCGGTGACTGAGGGAAGGGCTTGGGCCAATCCTTTGGGACCTGCACAACCACTGGTCTTGGCTTTGAAGGGACTTCTGGGGTGACTTGGTCCAGGGCTGCACCCCAGGTAGGCCTTGTTGGCTTCGCTGACAGATGGGGAAACTGAGGCAGTAGCCAGGTTCCATGCAAGTGGCTTGGGAGTGGGCTTGGCCAGCCTGAGCGGGCCCCCTCCCCCAGGAGGCCACGCATGAGGCTCAGGGCCGGTGGGGGTGGGTAGGGCCATCCTGCGTGATTCACCCAGAAATTACCCTGCCACTGTGGGGGCACCGTCAGGAGCAGAGTCACTGGGGCCCTCTGGGGGAGGGGGGCCTCTCCTTCCCCAGCCCCCAGCACACACCTGGCGCGCCCTGCCCTGGTGGGCCCCCCCGGGGAGGGGCAGGTCCTTCCCGCAGGCTGTCAGCGAGGAGGACCTGGTGTGGCTGCACAGCCGCCTTCTCCAGGGCCACCCCCGGACCTCCCCCAGCGAGGACTCCCCGCACGGCCTGCTGGGGTCCAGGGCGCACCCCCACCCTGGCACCTCCCCTGTCCCGGTCCTTGAGCCACTAAGCACCTCAGACTTTCCTGCTGCCACTGAGGACCCGCCTGGGGAGCGCTGTTGTGAAACGTGAAACTGGCGCGGCGCTGGCGGTGGGCGTGTCTGTGCGCACGTGCGTGCGCTCACCTGTGCGTGCTGTGAGCCGGCGCCCTTGACCTGTGTCACAGTCACGCTCACTGGGGGAAACCAGACTCCAGGCCGCCTGTGGGCCCCAGCGACTCCTGCCCCCGGGCCTGGCCACCGCTGGGTCAGCTGTTTGGGGCTGGCTTTGTCAGAGCGCCCTGGGTGCCCGGGCAAGGGGCGGGTCGGTGGACGGGTGCCCGGCAGGCCCTGACAGCTCCCTGCTCTCCCCAGGCTGGCTGCCCGGGCGGACGGCGACGGCTTGCGGGCGTGGTGGCAGGCAGGGGCCGACCTGCAGCGGTCGGGCTATGACGGGCGCAGCGCCCTGCATGTCGTGAGTGGCCCCACTCCCTGCGCCTTTGATGAAGGCTGCCACCTCCAGGAAGGCGGCCCTGACTGGCCCACCAGCTCCCCCTGCCTCTGCCCCTCCCCAAAGCCTGACTGTCAGGAGCGGGAACTGCCTGGCTCTCCTGGCCCTGTGTGCGTGGGCAGGGGGTGGTGGGGGCCAGGGTGCTGGTCAGTGCCCTGAGGCAGCCCCTCCCCACGTGCCCCCCCCACAGGCAGAAGCAGCTGGGAACCTGGAAGTGGTGGCCTTTCTACAGAGCCTTGCAGTGGGGGTCACTGCTGAGGCCCCAGGGCCGGTGAGTCCCCACCCGGGCGGGGCTGGCACCGCCCTGCTCCCAGTGAGTTCCCAGCGGCTGGATCCTGGGGACAGAGTCTGAGAGGGCTGGGGTGGGCCAAATCTCTCCAGGGTCTGCGGAGACCCTCCTGTGGGCCTCTGGGGCAGAACACACAGTGTTGGGGTGAGGGAGGGTGACAGGAGCAGACAGCGGGGGCTTCCTGGAGGACAGGCCGGCCTCAGACCTCCCGCATCCTGTCCAGAGAGGTTGCCCTGTGACGGACCAGACCTGAGCATCGGAGAGCCCCGGCCACGCTCCAGACGCTTCCCCGGCTCGCCCAGCGCACCCGCCCCAGCGGGCAGGGGTTTGGGTGCTTCCACCTGCTCCCAGGCTGCGCTCCCAGGCTGCGCTCCCAGGCCCAGCCCCCGGCGGGCACCCCTCCCCCTCCCACAGTCTCCAGGCTGGCTGGGTCCCAACAGCAGCGCGCCCGGCTTTCTTGTCTGCCGGCCTTCATGCACCACCTGCACCTCACATGTTCTCAGGAAGGAGATCTCGGGAGACCTCACCTTTTCAGGAAGTGCTGCCTGGGATATAACTTGAAGCCATCCTGCTGCAGCACAAGCCATTCCTTTCCTTCCTGTTGTGACCTGCTAGGGGAATCTCAGGCACTCACCCCACTGGCTCTTGGACTGGGAGGCACCCCCACTGCTGGGGCTGCTTCCCACCTGTTTTCATGACAAAACCTAAAGGTCTCTGTTGGGCAGCGTGGCAATAAAGTCGTTCTGGGGACTGCTGGCTGCCAGGTCCCCAAAGCCCAGCTCTATGTGGGTCTGTCTGGGTCGCGGGATCGCGGGACTGTGGAGTGTGTGGGCACTGGGGCCCCAGGCTGGGGCAGAGGGCCCTGTCCTCAGCACCCTGGGGTGAGAAGGACTTAGCCAGTGCTTCCGAGCAGCCCGGTGTGGGGCAGCCGTGCGGGGTGGGGTGGCACGGGGGAGGCGACGCTGGGCACGCTGTCCTTCCTTTCCCAGCCGCCCCTGCCAGTGTCCCTGCGTTTACCCAGGCTGCTCCCTCCTCCAGATGACCTCTGCCCTTCTCATCCTGCTCTCCTCATTTCACCTCCTCCAGGCAGCCCTCCGCCCCTGGGTGGCACCTGCTCCAGTGTGACTGTCTCCTCACGGCCCTTCCTGGTTGCTGTCTGGTTTTCCGTCACCCTAGTGTCCCCGCACTCCATGCCATCACACAGCAGGGGCTCGCCGGGGCTCAGAGGGGCTGATGAAGCCCGTGAGTGCCAGGGGGCTCCCGCTCTCCCCAGTGGTGAGCCCCTAGGACGGTCCATTCGAGCTCCCGGGCCACCTGTGGCCCCTGCCCCACAGCCCGCCATGAGCCAGGCTGCCCAGGCCCCCGCCGGGAGAAGTGGGGGGGGTGACCCACGCCACCCCAGGTGTGCCAGCCTGGGCGTATAGGCGGGCAGGTGTGCCCATGGGCAGGGCAGGCCTGGGCCGGTGGGGGTGGCTCTCCAAGGCCCGTGGGCAGCCCTGTGCCTGGTTAGAAGCCCTGGCTGGGGCTGAAATGAGGTGTTTGGACCCCCAGCCAGTTCTCGGCCTGAACTTTAAGCCCTCCCGCAGGGCAGGCACGCCCAGGCCCAGGTCCCACCTCGTGAGCACGGCCGGATGTGCAGGGCCTCCCTCCAGCCGCACGCAGCCCCCGACCTGACCCTCCTTGCTGGGCGTGAGGATCCGTGGCAGCGGCCTCCCCCTGGGAGCCCCTAGCCTCAGCGCCTCTCTGACTGCCCTCGTGAGGACTTCTGCCTGTCGTCCGTCTCTCTGGCTCCTGGGTGGGGGCTCAGGATGGCTGGCCCAGCCTGAGCACATGTGCTCTGTAGACGTCGGGCAAAAGTGTGACCCCCGCGCTGGCCCTTGGCACTGGGTGCAGCCGGGCTCCTCAGCCTGGTTTCCAGGCCCGGCTGGCACTACCGCCACAGACTCCCGTCCTCGCCCAGCCCGGGTGTGCCCAGGCCTTGCACAGCCAGGTGACACCACATGAGCATGGCAGTTCGGGGAAGCCTTTGCTTCACCCTGATGAGGGCCCGTGAGGGGCGCCTGGGAGCCAGGAGCCCCCACTGTCTTGGGTGGGCTGGCACCCTCAGAGGGCCTGGTGGAGGCACAGGGGTGAGGCCACCTCTGGGATCATGCAGCTGAGCCCCCCGACGTCCTGGGTGCCCCTACACACAGCGGCTCTCCGAAGTGCCCACCCTCACTCCAGTCCCGAGGGACGGGGCAGAGCCATTGCCCACGGCCACGACACACTCAGCACTTCTCTCAGGCCCCCGGAGCCCAGATTGTGAAAGCCACAGGTGGCTCACATCACCCCACATGGCAGCACCCTCCCAGAGCAGGTGCCAACCTGCCAGTGCAGAAACGCCTACTTATCCCGAGTGTCCCATGGGGAGCGCTTGCCGAGCTGGCTCTTGCCCAAGTGGGTCACTGATGTAGCTCGGTGGAGCCAGCTCAGGGTGACAGGGACTGGGGGAGTGCCTTTGGCAGTGGTCAGAGGGGCAGCTCCCCGAAAGGCGGGCGCTGGCCCCACCCTCAGGCCCGTCCACATACATGTGGGATGCAGAGCCCTAGGACAGCTCCTGGGCTGCGCCAGTGTCTCAGACAGCTGTGAAAAGTCACGGGCACATGTCTGGAAACTCCTCCAGGGGCCATTCTGTGCCCCTCTGGAAGAGGCCAGCCTGGCCCTGAGGAAGTGAGCTCCTCTGAGAGTCCCGAGAAGCAACAGGGGCACGTGGCCGGCGCCTGGGTCCCCGCGGCACTGCGCTGGGAGACCCACCCTGGGCCTCCCGCTCCTTAGTGTGAGATGGAACAGCCAGGACAGATGACAGTTTTGGACACTCACATTCTGCCACGTGTTGGCTCTTTTTGTTCTCACTCTGCCCCCGAGGAGGGCACGGGGGCATCATCCCTTCCATTTTATAGCCAAAGAAACTAAGGCACGGAGCGGCCCAGTCCTGTGCCCAGGGTTACACTGGTGCTGGCAGAGCTGGGCTATAAATCTGCCTCCCTTGCTAGAGCGGGCGGCTGGTGAGACACAGGAACAAGGCACGGCCAGGCTGGTTTCGGGGCAACAAGATTCCCCCGGCCCGGCGCTGCTCACACCTGGCAATTTCTCCCTGGGGGCGGCCGCGGCTCCCACGGCCCATCCAGAATCAGCCCATTGCAGGGTTATCTCTGGGAAACATCCCCCCTTCCGCCCTTCATTGCAGCCGCTGCCTGTTTCCCAGCGTCTTCTATCCTGAGATCAGACTCCCCAGTCGAGTGCCCTCTGGGGCACCCCATTCCCAGCTGTAGATAACCAGACTTCTCTGGCATGCGAGGAAGTTCCCCTTCTGGTCACACCTCAATATTTCCTGCTGGGAGGCACGGGTGTTCGTACCTGTCACGTCCTTCTCCCCCGTCATCAGTCCCCCCTGAAGCTGGAGATGGAGAGCTGGCTTGGCTGGGCGAGGGGAGCCCACCCGGGCCGGGTGTGTAGGGAGGGGTTGCTCCGGGCTGGGCTGGGCCAGGGCTTAGAGTTGAGGACAGGAGAGGTGGATTCACCCAGCCCACGCAGTGGTGCCGTGGCGTGGGGGAGACTCCCAAGCTCCTCTTGTGGGTCATAAGCCTCTGTGTCCCCCATTCTGCCTCACCCCCACCCGTAGCCCCTCTGACTCCACAACACAGACCCCAGACTGAGCAGACCCGTAGGCGTGCAGTCCCGTCCCCAGCAGGACTGTGCAAGCTCTGTGAAGTCACCGTGCTTCCCTGAGCCTCAGTGCAAATGGAAATACTCAAACCTTTACAGGTACACTGCACACAGCATGTGTGAAAATGTCTGGGGGTCCGTCACAATTTGGAAGCTGCGTCCTGGCCCAGGGCCAACCTGTGACTCCTGAGCAGCTGGTCTTCCGCTGTCTGGTGGCCAGGTGCGGCCACTCTGCGCGGGAGTGAATTACGACCCCCCCTGCTGCCCAGCCCCGAGCAGTCACACCAGTGGCTCAAGACTGGGGCAAAGACTTTAGGGTGTCACCTCCCCCCAAATTCTATTTCCTAAAGCCGGAGCCCTCCCCACTGGCTCCCATGCCGGGCCGTGGGCAGCCCGGCTGAGTCCCTGGGAGGCGCCATTGGTCAGGCCCGGACACCTCCAGGTGACTAAGTGGGCAGGGCCGCTCCAGAGCACTTGGGGCTCTCCCGCGTGTTGGGGGGTGGGGGCAAAGTGCAGGCTCCTGCCTTGGGTGGGGCAGGGCACGGACCTCGCCCTGTGATCCTGTGTGGGGACAAGGGACAGCTATGGGACTCGCAGCGCCACTGCCCTCTCCACCTGCTGGGAGAGGCAGGGGTCTGAGAACCAGAACCCGCCAGGCGTGCTCCCCCCTCCAGTTTCACTTTCTCTTTCTGCCCTGCTCCCTGCCCCTCCCACAGAGCTCCCTTTGAAGTGAGAGGGGCGGGGTGGGTGTGCCCGGCGCAGGCCGGCTTCCCCCGGGAGCGAGCCGGGTCCCGAGCTCCCGTCTGGCCCTGGTCCTCCCTGCCCGTCCCCTCCTGGGCACCAGCCCGGCCAGTGTGGACCCTCGCCCCGCGCCGTGGGCCGGGCGCCCCCGGTCCCCGGCGAGACGGCTCGGGCGTGGCCAGGTGCGCCCAGGCTGCGCGCTGGAGGCGGGGGCGCCGGGCGGGGCGGGCGGCGGTGAGTCAGGGCCACCCCCGCGCGGGCGCGCCGAGCAGGTCCCAGGGCCGTGGCCGAGCCGCCGCGCGACCCGCGGACGGAGCCGCCCTGCCCGGAAGAACCGGTCGGGCCAGCGCGGCGCGGGCGCATTCCGGCGCCGGGGGAGGGCGGCCCCGCGGCTTAAAAGGCGCCGCCGCGCTGGCCGCCGCCGCACGGAGCGCAGCCGGCCCGGCACGCGGGGCCGCGGGACGAGGGGACGCCGCGCGGCGCGGCAGGGCTGGGCCCGGCGCTGCACGCTGCCTGCGCCCGCCGGGGCGTCCGGGACGGCGCGGAGGGCTACGGCCGGACGGCGACGGGGCGCAGGGCGACGCGGCGGTCCCGAGGGCGGCGGGGGCTTTTCTCTCCACGGCACGGCGAGCCGACGGTGTCACGGACTCGCGCGCTGGGTCCAGTGGTTCTTAACAGTTCAACAGTTCTGTAGCGCAATTGTGAAATGTTTAGGACCACTAGATCCGGCGGGCCTGGCGGCGGTGACAGCAACGGAACAGCGCGGTCCGGAGTCAGGGTCAGAGTCAGGGGTGCGCCGGGGGCCGGCTGAGAGGAGCCCACGACCCGGCTCCGTGCACCGCAGCGGCACCGCGCCCAGCACACCCGGGGGCCAGGGCTGGCCCGGTCTGCTGCGAGGCCTGGGAACCGAGCGCAGCAG